TGTGATAATCACTTACTTTGGATTTGTTGTTCGCTCGCGAGTGAAGGGATTGGGAACTGTTGGGCGCCTTATAGAAGAATATCTTGTATCCAATATTACCATAAGTAAACGCCAGACTATAAGTAATATTTATGTTACATTGTTAATAGTTTGATATTATTTCTTATTAAATAAGTATTTTAATATTTCCATTAGATGTAATAAGCTAAATATTAATTTAATTTAAGTTCTTATATTTGGTAGAAAGTACTACATATGTGTAAATTCAAAATACTAGCACTCAATTTATTTTGAATTAAATGTATTAAACATGAATTTATAATAATGATGTACAGTAATATTGGGTATACAGTAATCTAAAATCTAGACAAATATCAGTTTCAATTTTTGCTAATAAAAAAATACAAACGACTGGAGAGAGGAATAAATTGATTAAAGAGAAAGCAGATAAACAAAAGAATATAAGCGGTGAGACATTTATGAGCTTAAGATATACTGTATATAAATAGGTTATATCAGTTGTAATACAAATCTAGCGATAGGTAAACAATACACATGAATGGGAAATAAAAATAAAATAGTCAAATAAAAAGTTTGTATTTACACAAATAGTGGCACTAAGAAAGTCAATAGAAATGTGATGATTGTGTAGGCCTTTCCCTCGGCCTCATCCCACTCCTCACGACAGTCAACATAAGTGACATTCCGGTACCGGAAGGACACTGTCTTGGAGTGGTATAGTTGGACACTACCCAAGAGGGTGCCCAACAGCCACCCGATGCCCAACATTAGATTCGTGTGATGTTTGAACCAATAATTGGCGCAATTGAATGAGTGTATTGTTGCGAAATACCTAGTTCATAAAAATTAATTATTATTGATTTAATTATTTTGTTACAATTTTTGCGAAATTAACTTGTTATAAAGTTTCTAACAAGTGAGTGAGTGTTTAATCGTAAGTACTAAATATAGTTTACTGTATTAAACACAAGTATACAGAATATTCTTGAAATGACACAAACTATTACAGTATATAAACTTATAATATGCTTATAATAAACTTATAATTTAATTGGATTATAAGTGCAATAGAGTTGGTTTTATTTATAGATATTTTAAAATTAATGTAATCTGTGTTAATGTGAGATGGATTTACCATTAATATTAAACAAACCAAACATTATATAAATTACTTTGCTATATCATTAAACAAATGGATATAAGGTTTACATTAGATATAAATCTCTAAATCCAGTACTCGATTTGTATGTACAGTATATGTATTGATTGTAAGCCATAGCACAGTAACATAACACGTGTCTCACAACTGTGGCTCTTATATAAAAGTATTTAGTTATCCTTATTTGTAAATCACTGAATATATTCTGTAGATATTCTCAAATATAGTAAATATAATATTATTGATTAAAAGGTTGTCAGATGTAATCGATTTTATGAATTTAGGTTTTATGGTCTCTATATTTAGTTTATGGGTTTGTATCACATAATTAAATGGCAAATAATAAGTTCTTTAAACCCCGTAATAATAAATCGATAAAAATGGATTTAAAAAGTCTATTTATATTGTTAAATTTTCAAAAATAGAAAGAGCATGATTAAAATTGCGAAAACAAATTGGGAATAACGGGTATTTTAAAAAGTATTGGAAACACTGTATTGGAAATCAATTTCACTTAAAATATTGGTGAAGAACAAGAAAAATCAATCACGTTTTGCTTTGACGAGAGAGAGTTATTCAACATGCCTAATAACTTTTGAATATTGATTTATTACCGGTAATAAAAAATTAGGTGGAGTTTATATAATATTAGTAATTGTATAATGGTAAATTAAATGGACTAATTTTTCTTAAAATTATTAGAAAATCTTATATATTATGTAGTATTTTATAGAGGGGTTTATAAAACATAATTGAGTGTTAAATTACATCCAATTTTCGGTCAGAAAGAAAGTCTCAAATCATAATCTAATCACAAAACCCACGTTTGTCTCGGATTGCAATAAAAGTATTGATTTTTATTATTAATTCATACAATATATGAAGTCATTAACGGAACTGCAAATGTCGGATATTAAAACTACCGGTATTAAAATTATGTCGGTTTATGTTATTTAATATTTTTTATTTTTAGGTTTTTTATTTAATTAAATATTACATAAATAACTAATATATCGGTATGAAAGTGGTAAATTATAAACACATTTAATTAATGAGCATTTCCTGAATATTGACTTAAAAAACAAATAGTGGTTTAATTTAAATGATAATCACATGACAAACACATTTATATAGTATACAATTGTAGTAAATTTATAATGTAGTAAACAATTGTTTTAACAGTGATTACATTTTAATGAATTTTATTTGTTTGCATAAAAGTGTTGTGTATAGCAAATAGTAAATTTGTTATTTTCACTTCATGTTTACCATAAGATTGATTAAATTAAATGATAACTAAATCAATATAATGGCAGACAATTATTTCACAATGTATTAATCAATGTCTCGAACAGTAATCAATATTTCCGTTAAAATATTACCACTTTATTGATGTTTCAATTAAAGCCTAAATTTATTTAACATTTCAATTATGGTGTAATTAGTGTGCAAATTAATTCCCAATCTATTATATAACAAATAAATACACATTTAATTGAATGCTGACCTAAAAAGTGTGAATTTGGTTAAGTTAACTAAGAAGTAAAATACATCAAAAAGACTGTTACTGTATGTCTAAAAAGACAGCAAAAGTTCTATACTCTAGAGTCTAGACCTAGTAATTCCAAAAAGTTCACCAGTGTACACATAGCATTTATAATAGAAAAGGTCATTTATGTACTATTACTATATTATTCATATATAAAGTAAACAATCATTGTGAATGGGGTTTGAAATTCAAACTTTGAATATTACAAATATTAATGTTTACTATTTATTATTAAAAATGGGGCACCAAATGACTAAAAG